AATTCCCAATTTTGGAACAACAGACTTCTGAAAGCTTAGCAAGTCAGCAAACTGGCCCAAAGAGATATAAATGTTAAGTATGTGTACAATGTGGAGGAGATGGGGGCTAAAATACAAATGCTATCTGGAAATCATATTCACTGCAAGACAAATCTTAAGAGGAGCACTGCCCTCGACAGAAAAAGGTCAATAATCACCTCTAGGTGAAAAGAAAGGATACTGAAGGAAAATTCTGTGTGTATTATTTTTTTCTTAAATATTAGCATCTCATAACTTGAGTTCACTCTCAAAGTTTTTCTTTCAGGTTTATGGTGTATCACCTCTGTGGATTCCCTGGAATTTAACAACAAATTAACAAAAGCTCCAGCTTTTCCAGTGGCGAGGACAAAGCTTTTGCTTTACCTAACAATTTCTTTTGTTTTCCTGATTTTTCTCCTGGCTGAAAAGTTTGTGGACTTTTCCTCAATACCTGCCTTTCTCCATGGGTCAGGGCTGCTTGATTCACCTGCCATGAACTAGAGATTGAACATGACAAAAATCGCTCAGATTTGCTGTATCTGGTAGTGAGGGCAAGCGGTAGGACACCACCGTGCTGGTGTACTGCTGACCAGAACAGTAGCCACTAGGCTTCGCTGCCCAGCTACTAGAATTCACATGCACAAACCGTTGTGTCCTTTCTCAACAATGGGAGATCAGTACTTTGCATAAATCTTTGCTGACTGGCTACAGAACATATTTGTATGTTTAACTTATACTTCAGTGTCGGAAGAGAGAAACACGAGAAAAAACCTAACCCTTTCCTGCTCCTCAGTGCAGTTGCTTCTGTAATGGATGAGGTAGTTTCATAGAATCATAGAATGGTTTGGGCTGGAAGGGATATAAAAGAATATCTGTTTCCACCCCCCTGCCACGGGCAGGGACACCTTCCACTAAGACCAGGTTGCTCCAAGTCCCGTCCAACCTGGCCTTGAACACTGCCAGGGATGGTGCAGCCACAGTTTTTCTGGGCAACCTGTCCCAGTGGCTCACCACCGTCACAGGGAAGAACTTCCTCAGATCTCATCTGAATCTCCCCTCCTTGTCACACATCCACTGCTCCATTCTAATTTTTGCCTCTCAGCTTTATCACCAGCATATTCACTGAAAACAAATCAGAATCGTTCACGTTGTTCCCAGGGGATGGATCACCCAGCATTGCCCTATCCCCACCCAGGGGCTCCACACCGACATCCGCAGCTGCAGAGCCCCTTTGTATTTGTGCGCCTTTCCCCAGGCCTAGCGCGGCTGGATTTATGGCCGCACTCACTTCACCCTTCTATCACCGCAATGAACCAGCTTTGTTTCGGGTCACCGCCACCACGGGCGGCCCCG